CTTTTTCTAATAAAGAAAAACAACTTTTTTCTTCTTCTTTCAGATTTATGTTAATTAATTTGTAGTTAACACTAATAACCCTAGATCCGACTCTCTGTAATTAATGTGAATAATGTTTAATATTGTACATGTTTATTACTGTAAAGCTGTTTTGAGCACAGTCTGTACAGTATAACGCTCTATATAAAAATAAAGGTGACTTGGCTTGTAATTACTGGCTGTTCTGTAAAACAGTAGGACTAAGCTAAAACAGTCCCTCGAAATGGTGAGGAGCAAATATAATTCCTCATATGCAAATATGACTGATTGGATCCTGAAACGAGGATTAATTCCTGCCGTGGGAAAGTGCCACTAACTGAGCAGTCACAAAACAAGCCAAACACAGTGGACATTCAGTCACACCCCCACTAGCGACTCACATTGTCTGGAGAGCGTCTGTCCGCCGGTCCATCCGTCTGATCGCCTCCTTTCACCTTCCTCTTCTTCTTTGGTCCGGCACTTCCTGTGGACGGGACCGTCTTCTGTTGAAACTCCTTCAGCTGCAGAACCAAAGAGCAGGTATGTTAAAGGTTCACGCAAAATTTAAATTTAGCCCATTTACTCACCATGAAGCCATACTAGGTGTATATTTGGGCTGCACAATTTATCAAAATTAACTAAATAACGCAAATGTACTTACAGAATATGGTGCAAAAGTTCCTTTATTTCAGTAATTCAACTTAAAAGGTGAAACTAATATATTATATAGACTCATCACATGCAAAGTGAGATATTTCAAGCCTTTATTTGTTATTGTGATGATTATGGATTACAGATATGAAAACCTTTTCACAATATTCTAATTTTGAATTTGGGGTTTTCATATCTGTAATCCGACCATAATCATCAAAATTATAACAAATAAAGGCTTGAAATATCTCACTTTGCATGTAATGAGTCTATATAATATATTAGTTTCACCTTTTAAGTTGAATTACTAAAAAAATAAACAAACTTTTGCACCATATTCTCATTTATCTCAAATGCATATCGCAACGGCTTGCAATAACTGAGTCATGCACACAAGACTCGCTGCTCTCGGCTGAATAACTTTTGTAGCTTTAATAAGAATCAGTATTTAATTCATACAGTGAAAACTAAACAGTGTTTTATTTTTACGTTTGATTATTCAGTTTGTGATGGTAAATAACCTTAATGTAGGATAAGCTGTAAAACACTGATGTTAAAATAATAATTCTTTCAGAAGCTGTAGGGATGTTTTATTGTCACAAAAACAATGTAAAACACGTATATAACTTTAAATATATTTTAAAGATAATTTATTTTACACACTTTAAGCATCATCGTATCGCCTATCGAATATCACATTATTTAATGAGTTATCACATATTGCATTTATGCATCCGTTTGTCTTCATGCTTAAAAAAGCTAGAAGCTAGTTATTTTATTCCTTACTTTCTAAAAGATTATTAGCGTTATTTAACTATTAAAAGCATTTCATTAACTGAAATAAAAATGCCAAATGCTGCCTTGGCAATAAAGTTGAAGCACTAAAATTATTAACTAGAGTGGGAATAAATATGAACTAAAATACAAATAAATTAAACCAAAAAAGCAATATTTAAAGAAAAAAAGCACACAACGAAATTACAAAATATTAATTTAAAAAATGAAAATAAAAGCTCATTTAAAATATTAATCAAACTGATCCAAACCAAAAACTGTTTGCTCCATTTACACAAACACCAAAAGTTAGTGAGCAAAAATTAGAAGATCATGCTGCATTTGTTTAATATTGTTTTATATAATGCAATGACAATAAGACAATCATAACTGCTTGAGGAGTGAAAATACTTTTCTAGTCTATTCTAGTTTATTTCGACGTGTTACATGCCGTTTCTTTGTAATTAATAGTGAAATTTACTAGCATTTCTGTTGTGAAAAGTATTTCTACACAAAGAATTTAGTTGATTTTAGTGATAATGACTGATACTCTTTGGCTGCTGTTGAACTAAAGCAAGCATCAATGCACCAGTGCCACTGACAGGCAGAAACTATGAGTCAATAATCTGTCCCAGTTTAAGCACACTGGTTTTAACTCACTCATCAAAACTAAATCAAGATAACTAAATCAAGTCGCTATAGTCAGATTTAACAAAAAACCAACTGCACATTCTGTTCATGAAGAAGCTCCCGTCCGATCCTGCAATGTGGAGAGAATGAGAATGAACACAGTCTCTCTAGTAGGTCAGATTTGTGATTCAGCTGTCATGGGACACAAGGGTCTAAATTATGAAGCTCTCATATGACAGAGCCAAAACTTAAATTCCAAAGTTGATTTTTTCAAGACATGTTGTTGGTGTCCCAGGCCAGACAGCTGCTGTTCCTTTGGCCAGCTTAGTTGAGGTATATGTGACACTTAATATTCAGTAATGCACTGACACTATTAGATGAGAACTACATTTGACCTGATTAAGCTGAATAATGTTTAGATATTTTGAATTTCATAATAATTCTCTTATTTGTTAGTGTGAGGCTGCTTTGAAACAATATGTAATGTATAGCGTGCTTTAGAAAAAAGCTGATTTGCCTATCTAGACAGCACTTTTGGGCTTCATCAAGTGCACTCAACATGCATCACTGCACAAAACACAAATATTCATAGATTTGGTCTGTCATTTAATCAATTAAACCTCAGACAGCAAGCAAAAAGCGCACTATAAGGGGATCGAAAACCAATTAAACCTATTAGTTAAACACTTTTACTGTTAACAAAGACGATCAACCAGCTGTTTCAATTGGACCTGTCATTTTAACTAGCAGTTAGCAAGTAGGCTAACACTAATAAGCTGGTTAAACGAGCCTAAAGTCATAAACTTCATTAAAAAAACATTCAATTATTGTCCACTAATTCACACTGGTGTTGTTGGCGTCAGTTTCAGAATTATAAACAACAACAAAACACAGAGGCTAACAACATTAGCTTGCCAAGTTACCCTGACATTCACATAGAGACACTTTTAGAACATTTCTGACCAATTAAAATCGTTATAAACGCGTGTGAGAGATAAACTCTAACGAGTTAATATCCAGGCTTAATCTCAGCGGAATCCCCGAGCTTTCCTGACAGCCGCGCCCGCCCGAGAGTGCCTGACTCCCGGACGCGGGCCTGAGGAGAGGCCGGTTGACGTGGAATGTCAACATGACAGATGGGACACACACGCTCAGAATCGATTCAATTACAATCGACAGGTGTCTTTTGTTACAAAGATAGTGAAATACTACGTTAAATCACATAAGTGTACCTTTTTCTTGGCTGCAGCGAGTTTGATTTGCCTGTTCTGGTCCGCCATCCTCTCGCGCAGCTCAGCGAACGCCAACGGCACCACGTCATCAGATGAGCCGTGTGCGTGTGCGCATGCGTGAGAGAGGAGGAATCCTACGGACAGAATAATAACCTATATTATATCGAGGATCACTCCTTAAAGGATGTCGGTTTTATTATAAATTTTATTTTATTTTTATGTAAATTTCACATTCATAAATGCAAGTTTACAAATAGCAGACCTCTTTTTATGGTACTTGAAAAAGAGATCAAAAAGTATGTAGATGTGATGTCAAAATCTAAAAATAGTAAAGCAATTAAAGTGATTAATATATGCTCATCCTTGAACATTTTCACATAATATAATATAATTTCACATATATAATAGTTTCACAAATATAATTAATGATGCTGACATATAAAGTATACTCTATGTATTTATATTGCATTAGAATACGCTTTGGAATTGATCAATGTATAATGTATATCTGTTGGTAAACTGATATTTATGTACCCTCTCATTCTTTTTATTTTTTATTTTAATTATTTTTTTTATTTTCTGTTCTTGTTGAGGCATGTGAAATATGTTGTATGAGAAATTACAATGTACATGCTACTTGATGTAATAATAACAACCTAGCCGTCTGTTACAAATTGAAGGTTTATCACATTCTTTTGAATTGGATAATCCAGGCCTACCATATTGATAAAAAAATACAATGAGAAAGAAAAAAAATTTAAGGCTTTACATCAAATAAATATATTAGGTTTAATTGATCTTTGTGTCTCTAGAAATAGTACTAGACCTACATCGTTAAATGACTCACTGAGTGATAATTCAAATAGGCAGTAAAAAAAATAGGTCCAGCACAATGATTAGATCAGTGGTCCTGTTCTAGCATGATTTACCATAAACCATGATTTACCATGTTCTAATATGATTTTGAATCCAGCATGATTTACCATAGCTTACCATGATTTACCATGTTGTAGTATGATTTACCACGTTGCTACTGTAGCATTGATGTGAATTGTCAGTACAAATGAAGTTGTTCACTCTGACAAAATATGATTGTGTTATAATAGTATTGTTATATAAGTGATTTTAAAGTGTCTAGATATGAAAGCAAAAAGCATGTGAAAAGACTTTATTAATAAGTCGAGTGGCCAGCAGAGGGCAGTACACTGTAAAAAGTAATTGCTGATTCTACTTAAGAAAAACTAGTGAATTTAACTTACTTTAGAAACTTAGTTGATTTAACTTGATTACACTGTGTACTGTGAACTTTTAGGTGGATGCAATAGTCAAACTAAACAAATCTAGTACATTGTACTTAAGTTTGGTAAGTGTATTGTACTAAAGGCATTTTCACACTGTTGAAAATTTCTGGAGCACAGAATTTGGATAGTAATAATAATAATAATAGTGAAATTAACAAAATTTTTAGTAAATACCATACAATTAGTTTGAAAATAGATAATAGGTTAATATATAGTTAATAGGTTCTGAATCTTTTTTTCCTGCACGCTTAAAAAATAACTGGGAAGATAAAAAGCAAGCCCATCGGCTGCTACTTCACAGTCCTTTATATTTTTAGTAACAAATCTTTATACATTTACTTTGGTTATTAAGTTTCAGCATAAGACGAAACAACTCGGTTATATATTTTTTTTTCAACTCGCGCATGCGCATTTGCGCAATTGGACGGTTGAACTTGAGGAAGACGTCAAGACGAGACGACATCGACGAGGGACTTCAGCTCGTGTTCGGGAATGGATGCGGCAGCAAAACTAGGTATGCTAGCCTCTTGAACAACTATTTATCAACTTTAATGTCATTGTATAGCTTAAAAACAGAATTTATTTTGCTCATTGTGCAGTAAGAGGAAAAGACACACTGAAGTAACGTTAGTTTTATGTCGAATGAGACCAGTTGAGACAAGCGGCATAAATTACTAGATTAAAAAACGATTTTTACTGAACACGTGTTTTATATTAGTTACAGTTTGTATGCTGTGTTAATCGTTTAAGTTTGGGGTTTATCTAAAATGTAAAAACCCTGGCTGTGCGGCCTAGATAGCAGCTAACGTAACTTTCCTTCTTTCTAGAAAGTTCAATGCTCACGTGTCGTTCACATGAAAATTAATTACATGACGCATTAATTAAGAAGTGTAACTAACAAGCAGTTATTACCTTATTTTGTCTTTATTTTGTGACAGATTCGCTCAACGTTTCATCAATAAATTCAAGGCTAAATCTGGAGATATTGGCTCCAAACTTAAGATTCTGCAGCAGATTCAAAATGACGTAAGCTCATCGACATATCACAATTATGTCTCGATTGCAAAACATATGTTGCTTTTACTGTTGTTTTTTGCTCTGACGTTTTGCTAGTACCGAGTGCTATTCAATATACATTTTTATAACTTTGCAGAAATCCAATATCAATGCGGAACGAACAGCGTTCTTCACCATGGCCTACCACTACTTTTCGAGGAGGACCACCATGATTTTTACAAGACATCTTTTGTAAGTATTTTCATCTCTGATGTGATTCTTGTTTAACAGTCTAACTGTTCTTCAAACAGTTGATATCTGGCAAGAAGAAAGGCATGAAAAACTGTCAGGACAGTGAAACAAAGTAAGGGTTGGAGAAAAGAAAGTGAAAGATAAATTAAGAGTTTAGAAGAAAAAAGACAGTTAGAAGATACATTTTATATTAGTTTTAATTTATATAACCGGCCATCAGTTTTATTTGTCTTTTCATGCAGTGGTTTGATGAATGTTTTTCCCCCTGGATTCACTGCTGTGTCCTCTTTGAAAAGGCCTTTACATTTAGACACAAAGGGTTATTAATTTAGTTTCATATTTTAATGACTATGTGCTCTTAAAGGGATAGATCACCCAAAATGAAATGATGTTGTTATTTACTCACTCTTATGTTATTCCAAACCTGTTTGAGTTTCTTTCTTATATTGAACACAAAATAATATATTTTGAAGAAGTTCGGTAATCAAACAGTTGAGATTAGCCATTGACTTCCATAGTTTTTTTTCCCACTATGGAAGTCAATGGCTACTCTCAACAGTCTGGTTACCAACATTCATCAAAATATCTTCTTTTCAGTTCAGCAGATGAAAAAAAAAAACTCATACAGGTTTATAACAACTTGAGGGTGAGTAAATTAAGACAAGATTTTAATTTTTGAGTGGACTATCCCTTTATAGTAACACTCCACCATTTTGTTCCATATTAAACTATGTTATTCCCTTAACAAAGACGAGTTGATGAATACCTCTCTCGTCTCAGTGCCTGCACTCAATCGCTCTGGTGCATGGAAAAACACATTGTTAGCACTTAGCTTAGCCCAGTTCATTCATTAGGATGCAAATTGAGATGAAGTTAGAAGTGACCAAACACCGCCATATTTTATTTTGTGTCACCATACTTGGCCGTGTAACCACATTTGAATAGAGAAAATGTGGAGATGTTTGGTCGCTTCTCTGTTTAAATAAACTGGGCTAAGCTAAGTGTTAAAGTGTCTCCGCACGCCAGAGCCATTGAGTGCACGCACTGAGACGACAGAGGTATGTATCAACTCGTCTTAGTAAAGAGAGTAACATAGTTTAATATGAAAAAATAGTGGAGTGTTCCGTTAAAATATGTCTTGTTCTATGACCTAATTTTTGTTATATGCTATTCTTATTTTTAGGACTGTGATGACAATGAAGATATGTCCAACATTGAAATGAGTTCTGACAGTGATTCCCGAATCGTCTGCAACCGCTGCCATACCCTACTCCCTGCATCTGATGCCACAACAACGGCAATCATTCTGAAAGGTACAGTGGTTGTGGATGATCTTGAAAATCTTCCACAAGCAATGAGCTGTCTTTAAAGGAACACTCCACCATTTTTTTATATACTATTTTATTCCCTAACTAAGACAAGTTGTTACATACCTCTCTCGTTTCAGTGCGCCGTACACTTAATTTCTCTGACGTGCAGCGAAACTTTGATAGCCCTTAACTAGCCCTGTTCATTCATTAGGATCCAAGCAGTGAAGCTACCAAACACCTCCACATTTCCCTATTTAATTACAGTTTACACGAGTAGTTATACGACCAAGTATGGTGACAAAATAAAATGTGCCGCTTTCTAAGCGTGTAAAGTGGAGAACTACAATGTATGGCGGAATAGCACTGAGAGCGCTTCGACTTGGCACAGTAATATCATCACTACTGATGATGAGAGGATTTTTTAGGAGTGATGATATTACTGCCAAGTCAAAGTGCTCTCAAGTGCTATTCCGCCATACATTATAGTTATCCATTTTACACTGTGTAATCATACACCATTCTCGGTCATGTAACTACTTACCAACGTGTAACTGTATTAAATAGGGAAAACGTGGAGGTGTTTTTGTCGCTTCTAACTTCATCTCTTTTGGATCCTAATGAATAAACTGTGCTAAGCTAAGTGCTATCAATGTGTCGTGTCGCGCTAAAAGCGATTGAGTGCACGCACTGAGACGTGAGAGGTATGTATCAACTCGTCTTTGTGAGGAAATAACATAGATTAAAGGGATAGTTACTTTGAAATTATTTTTGATATGTTTTATCTTACCTCAAGGGCATCCAAGATGTAGGTGTCTTTGTTCCACAGTATTTCTCAATTTTTACGTTTTTCGGTCAAACCGTTGTCTGTC